TTCATAACTTTTAAAGGTTATACTCCATTTATAGTCAAAATATTTGCCATATCCCCTGTGTTGTACAAGCTCCCTAGATTTAAATCCTGTACTTAGATGGGCACCCTAATATCTATGTGCCTGTTTCCTCATCTGAGAAATGGGGGAAATAAGAGCACCTTTCTCAACAGAGTCTTGAGGATTTAATGGGTTAATATATGTAAAGTCCTAGAACAGTGCTGGTTGTGTAGTAAGCACTATATGACTACATTAGCTATAGTCAGTTTTATTCTTCCCTTGCCTGGGAGCCTTGTGAGGCCTGATTACCATCTCTTCTCCCAACTGTGCTCCTCCGAGTCCCTCATTGCTAAGTGGGGAGGAAAGCAATTTGTTCCTCAGCAGAAACACTGGAAGGACCCTGTCCCATTCTGCCACCCACCCCACCCCCTGAGGCCTCAACCTTTGTGCTGTCCTTAACCCTTTCTTCTCTTTCTCTACAGGTCCCAGTCCCCCTCCCCCCAGTACTGTGAGACCTGTGGTGCCCACTTCCGAGACTCTAACCACCATACATCCACTGCTCACCTGCTGTCACTGTCGCAGGATCTCCAGCCCCCCAGCCAGCCCTTTGGGGTGCCTACCTCCAGTCCAGGCTTCAGGCTGCTGCTGAAAGGGGGCTGGGAGCCTGGAATGGGGCTGGGGCCCCGGGGTGAGGGCCGTGCCAACCCCATCCCCACTGTCCTCAAGAGGGACCAGGAAGGATTAGGCTACAGATCAGCACCCCAACCCCGAGTTACACATTTCCCAGCTCGGGATACCCGGGCAGTGGCTGGGAGGGAGAGAACCCCTCGGGTGACCACAATGAGCCAGAAGAGGGAGAGAAGGCAGGAGGAGAAGGACAGGGCCTGGGAGCGGGATTTGAGGACATACATGAATCTTGAGTTCTGACCTTGGCAAGGTCTGACCCTGGTCTCCTTGAGCCTCTGGCCTGGGCACTTTGGCTTCTACTTCCTGAGGTCTGCTCAGGTCCCAGACCCTCAGGTTTTGAACAGTGGGCTCTGCCTTTGGGAGAGAGAGGCTGAGAGTTAAAAAATAAATTTTTTTTTCCTCTTTGGTGTTTTATTCACTTTTCTGGAAGCTGTTGCAGGGAAGCCAAACAAGGCTAGGGACCACATACAATCCTACGTGAGCTAGAAGAGGCAGCTCCTCTAGGTGGCATGATAGGGTCACCTTCCTGCTAGTCTGGTTCACTTCTAGTCCCAGCCACTGCCTTGAGTGACCCACCTTTTCCTTTCCTTTCCGTTCCATTCCTCTCCTCTCCCTTTCTTTCTTTTTCATTTTTTCTTTTTTCTTTCTTCTTTCTTCCTTCCTTTCTTTCCTTCTTCTTTCTTTCCCTTTCTTTTCTTTCTTCCTTTCTTTCCTTTTTCTTCCTTTCTTTCCTTTTTCTTCCTTTCCTTTCCTTTGTTTTAAATATATTTTTATTGACGTATAGTCAGTTTACAATGTTGTGTCACCACCTATTCTTTCAATCCCTGAACCAGCAATTACCCATCTCTGTGCAAGTCTAGCCTCCCCCAGAAATCATCTGACCACTCTAGCCAATTCAACCACTGATTTCACATAGAAGTTCATGTACTATGCACTAAAAGTAGGAATGAAAGATATTCCCAATCTTGGGGTTGCTCACAGCTGGAGGAGGAGACTGTATGTGATAAAATACAATGCACGGTGATAGAAGTCAGGGAATGCTCAAAGATGATGAGAGTGGGTAGGGTCTTGGAGGAAGAGGCCAGTGTGATAGGAAGGCCTGATTATGAAGTCTGTAAGCTATTAGCTGAACTGGGATCAGAATTCTGGCCTTCCAGATCTGCATTTTAAGCCAAGATTCTTCATTCTGCTACCTGAAAACTGAGGGCTGGAAGTACATCCTATTTGTCTATACTTGTCTTTCCCACATTTCCCTCTCTCCCTCCTCCCTTATGCTGCTCATACCAGGTGCCAGGCACAAGAAGAGCTCGCTGTTGTCAAATCTAGGAGGTAAATCTGCATGGATGGGCGGAGGAGGGCTACTCAAGTCCCAAGCCTTCTCTCATAGCTTTCTTTTCCAGAAAATCCTTTAATGAAATCTTGGACTTTAAGAGAAGGAGTGGTGGGGGATACGGGGAAGAACTCAAAGGCTGGAGACTAATGGGAGTGGGCGAGTTTAGGGGGCACTGGCGGTCCCGGGACCTCTGGGCGACGAAAATGTAAGGCTGGATTTACTGGCCCCCAGCGACCTCGGCTCCGGGCCGTGTTACGGCCTGGTGCGCACTGATGGCGCCCACAAGCGGCGCGGGGGCGCGGGGGGCGGTCGGTCGGCAGGGTCCTCCCCGTGAGCTGCGGGCTCCGCCCCCGTCTGTCCCTGTAGTCCCTGTTCTGCTGCTTCCGGGCTCTGCGGCTGGCTCCGGGCGGCTCCGCGAGGCCGCGGCCCCGACGCTGGGTCCGGGAGGGGCTGCAGCGCCCGGATGCCTGGCTCCCCACGCAGGCCCGCGCTTTGCCTCTCGACCGAGAGCTCCGAGGAACCCTCCAACCTGACCTTGCTGAAGCTGAGTCTCAGCTGTGTGCTCGGGGACCGGTGGGGCTACTTACAGGATTCACAGCCCTCTGAATCAAGGGACGAACGTTGCTGGCTGGAGTTTGCCGGATAGCTCTTCCCCCTATCCACCTAATAGACTTCCTACTCCTGAGCTCCCTTAGGATAGCAGTTCAGAACTCCCTCAGTCGGGAACACCTGGGACCCGGGGCCACCTTTCCTTCCTTCCTTCTTGGATGGAGCACCGCCTCCCCATTTTCTGGGGCACCTTGGGGCGTGGCCTTGGTGAGTGAAACTTGGGGTGCTGCCTGCTGGGAAAGAAACCCGGAAAAACAGGGAGGACACTGTGGGGGTGACCCAGGCTTTGTCAGATCCCGAGACTTTCGGAATCTTGTGTGGTGGTGGTGGTGGTTGTGGTGGTGGTTAATAAATTTGGATGTGCCTAACTTTACCTCAAAACTGAAAAGGAAACAAACCACCTGCCACGTTTGAGGCTGCATAACCATCCAGGGAAGTGGGGAGCCACTTCTGAATTCAGAGTAGGACACACCAGGCAGATACCTGTTCTTCTGAGCCTGAACAGACTCTGGCTTCTGAGGAGAACTTCAGCCCTCAAACCTGAGAGTCTAAGCAGTGCCAGGAAGCAGCACCAGAATTTGGGGCTTCATTACACACCCCAGCCATGTTCCTGCGACGGCTTGGTGGCTGGCTACCTCGCCCCTGGGGCCGCCGGAAATCAACGAGGCCTGACCTGCCTGCCCCAGAACCCAGACAGATGGACAGCTCCTCCGAGAATTCAGGGAGTGACTGGGACAGTGCCCCAGAAACCATGGGAGACCTGGGGCCTCCCAAGACCAAGGACTCAGGTGCACAGACGAGCTCTGGGGCTGCTCCAGAACCAAGCAGGGAGTCCCAAGTTGAGCAACTGGAGAGCAAAAGAATGGATTCTTTCAAGTGGAACAAGACTGTCTCCAGCACTCAAGAGTCTGGGAGACTGGAGGCTGGACAGGCCATTCCCAAACTGGGATGGGATCCTGTGGACTCAGGTGGCACCAGGAAACCTGGAGTGTCTCCTGAAGAGGGATTGAGCCCCTCTGGGCCTGAAGCCCCACTGGAGAAGCCTGGTCGGCGTCAGAAGCTGCTGGGCTGGCTGCGGGGGGAACCAGGGGCTCCCTATCAGTACCTGGGGGGCCCAGAGGAATGTCTGCAGATCTCTACCAACCTGACCCTGCACCTGCTGGAGCTACTGGCCTCAGCCCTGCTGGGGCTATGCTCAAGGCCGTTGAGGGCAGCCTTGGATGCGCTGGGCCTGCATGGACCACTGGGCCTCTGGCTACATGGGCTACTGTCCTTCCTGGCTGCCCTGCATGGGCTCCATGCTGTTCTGAGCCTACTTACCGCTCACCCCCTGCACTTTGCCTGCCTCTTTGGTCTTCTACAGGCCCTGGTGCTGGCTGTCAGCCTCCGGGAGCCCAGCGGGGATGAGGAGGCCATTGACTTGGAGGGCGAGAAGTTGGGGAGGGAGGGTGAGGAGCAGAGGGGAGACCCAGGAAAGGGGCTGTGACCACAGGGTGGGGTGTGTCCCAGGGCCCCATCCTCAGTGAGGTGGGAGCAAGGGTGAACACAGTGTGGCCTTTAGGAGAGTGGGGGGCATGACCTAGATTGTAAGCACAGGGACCTCAGGGATGGGGTAGAAACCCCAGAGTATGAGGGCACAGAGCCCCCCTTCACACACAGGAGAGAATAGAGCTGTTTAGGTGTCTGTTTATGGACAGTGAGGGCATTGCCCTTGAATTCACCAGCTGTTGTTAATTTTTGCTTTTACATTTCTCCCACCTCCAGTTATTTTTTTTTCCACCTCCACTTTTTAAAAGAAAAAAAAAAGGTGTGATGGTGGAGAATAAAGACTAAAAGTCCCTCTCTACCTTTCAAAACTCTCCAGGGGTGGAGGAGACCAGAGGTATGACAGATAGATCTCTGGATAGGGTAAGAGGGTGGTTGAGAGACTCAAGGTATCCCTTGGATCCTGGGATCTGCGCCATCTAGGGAGGAGTGGCACTGCTAGGTAGGTGAATTAGGGGGTCTGGATGGGCTCCTATAGGTGATGGAGCCTGCAGGGAGGATCTGGGTGTTCCCAGTAGCCAGAGGGAATTTGGGACTGTGCAGGTATTGTTAGCAGGAGGGCCAGCTCAGAGGGGCTGTCAGCTCAGACAGGCAGTATGGGGAGCACTGGAGTTTGCAGACCCCACTGGGGTGGGGGGGGGTTAGAGATTTGCTCACTCAGCAATAAATGTCACACCAAATCCTAAATATACCACTACAAAGTAAGAGTTACTGCCAAGTGTCCTTCCTGACGCCGTCCAACTGGAGGTTTATGTGGTAGAAGGTCCAGGGGAAATATTGAAATGGAGGGAGTGGGACTAATGTCTAGAGACAAACCCCCTAAATAAGATGAGGATTGAAAAACCTTTATTACCCTTGAAAGGGAGTTGGGATTTTCCAGCTTCTCCCCCACTACAATGTCAGCTTCTGTATCCATCTGGGGGCACAGATGAAGCCACAGGTCAGTTACTGGACAGCTCGCAGGCCTCTGGTGGGAGGAGGATGAAGAGAAAAAGATGGAAAGGAAGGAAACCCAAGGAGAGAGGTAAGGCTGGTGGTACTGAGATGAGGAAGAAGGCACTCCCTCATTCCCGCATTTCAGAGAAGAGGGTCTCTGAGGACTTTTTGCCCTGCAGACCTCTGCACCGTGTCTGACCCTCCACCCCTTTTATCCACTGCAAAATCAGAAACCTCTCTTTTGAGTAGCCCAGAGCCCATGATTACTTTCTCTGGTGCCATCACAGCCTATGACACAAATAGAGGTGTCAACACAGCCAGTCTGATGATGCCAGCCTTTGCCCAGCGCCTATGCCCACTTGAGTCCCTTTCAACCAGGTCTCATAGAAGACTTGGTGAGTCCTAGTTGTCTTCTGTGAGACTTTACCCCCTCACCTTGATTCCTGGGAGTCAGTAAGAAGGCCTTGAAGTCCAGGCAGGAGGTCAGGGACTGGAATTCCTCCACACACTTCTCGTGGGGGGTGTGGTGAGCGATCTGAATGGACAGAGCAGGCCCAGGTCTGTCAAAGCCCCTGCTTCTTAGCACCGCCTCTGGTGAGAACCTCATGGAAGCACCCAGCCCTTCTTGGGATGATGTCACAGGGCCCAGAGGAAGGGGCTCTCTTGCCCCTGCAACCTCACCATGCTTCCCTCCAACCCTTCCTGCCTGGCATCCCCACTCACTGTAGAGAAGGAAGCGCTGGTAACCCTGGCCTGTCTCTTTCAGCATGATTCCGCCTGGGCATGAGCTGGAGAAGAGTTTGGTCTTCATGTCAGGGCGGCCTGTCAGGGTGAGTGGGAGGAAGTGTGAGGACAGCGATGCAAAACCAAGCAAGCCCAGGAGGCTTGGGGAGAGCAAGGGCTGGAGAGAACCAACCTTCAGTTCTGAGATCTGTGCTCCCTTCAGACAGGTAGTAGATCCATTTCCGGGGCACACACAGCCCATTCTTCCTGCAGAGGTGGTGATGGCAAGGAGAAAAGACTGAGTGACCCCTCAACCACTCAGGACCAGCCTCTATTTATTCCATCTTATTCCTCCTTGATGCCTGGGTCCCCTTTGGGGGATGGTTAGGTCCATCTCTCTCCAGAGGGAAACTAATAGAGCTATTGAACTCAGTGGGCCAAGGATAGTGGCTATACCAAAGAGCCCAGCTCTTTCTGGGTGGGTGCTCTCACTTGGGGCAGAGACTGCACCTACTAGTGCCTCTGCCTCCTCACCACTCACGTGCGGATCGTAGCTCGAAGCTGGAGCTGCATGGGGGCAGATCCCGCAGCCATATTGAAGACAATGTTGTCCACAGGGTCAAAAGTCGCCAACTCCTCCTTGGTGGGAGCTGCCCCTGCGATAAAGTACCACCGGCCAAGGTGGGGCTCTGGGAACTGAAGAGACAACAGGGGAGCAGAAGGTGGGTCCCACTACAGAATCCATCCAACCTGTTTGTTAATCAGGACTGCAATACTTACAAGTGAAGGTGTTGGCTGGCCTTTTTCCAACTGGGGGTTGGATCCACGAGATGGGAGTCATTAAATGACTTTTCCTCTTTGCCCCTCCTCAGTAAACCTGCCCCCAGCCCCATCCAGTTGCACCATGTCTTCACAATGATGGCCACAGCACTAATATTTCTATACTTGTTCTTGCCATTATCATCACAACACCTGCAACCTCTTCCCCACTTCCTTTCCCAGTGTGGCTTTCTGGTCATCCCTCAGACCCTCCCCACCCCAAGCTCCCCGAATTCTCAGTCCATACCTCTTTCCCATCCACTCCTTGAGGTGTCAATCGACTGTGCTCAGGGCACTGGTAGATGGAGTTAAGAAGAATGCCATAGAGGTAGAGTACAGCTGCCCAAATTTGGTGGAACATCTTCAGGAAGGAGGAGCTGGTGCTCTGCCTGGAGTGGCTGGTGTCTTAACTGTTCTCTCCCACTGGCTGCTCAGTCCACTCTGCTTCCAGCCCCCTTGCCTCGACCCTTGATCCTTCACCTGCTAATGAGTAACTTCAACCTTGTTTTCCAACCCAAGCCTGGATTACTTACAGTGTTTGGGTCTTCTCCTCTACTGAATGTAACCACTTCACAATACATCCTGGCATGTCCAGGATCTCTCAGGAATTTTAAGGAGAGTTGAGCCCTCCAGGTAGAAGCCTGTGGTCCTTCAACCCTGGATATCTGCTGCGCTGTGCAGCACTGAAGAGAGATGGATTGATTCTTTCATACATTCACTCAGCAAACTGTTTTTAAGTCCCAGCTGTTTGTTAGGAACTGGCTAAGCCCTGGGAACATAAAAATGAGTAAGACAGTTCCTGGCCTTGAAGAATCAGTCAGAGGAAAATTAGCTATGTAAACAAGTCATTTTAGTACAACCTGGTAAGTGCTTTAGAACAGGTATGAACCAAGTGCTAGAGCATGGTGAATGGGAGGCTTTCTCTCTGAAGCTGATAATTGGGGAGGCAATATGTATACCCCCTCCCCCAAAAAGTCGGCTGACGCATGAATTCATTCTCTGATTTATTACTACAAGTAAGAATCCACGTAACCTAGTGGTTAAAATGTATAGACATTGGGGTCAGGAGAGTGAATCTACTACTTATTAGATGTTGTACAATTTTATTCATCTTTATGCCTGCTTTTTCATCTGTAAAATGAGCAAATCATCGGTCTCATTCGATTAAAAGAGAGAATGCACATAAAACCCTTAGCAACGGCCTGCACATGGTTAAGTCCAAAGTAAATACTCGCTATAATTAATACTAATGATTGTAAAGCACTTATTATAGTCTCTGGTGGGTATTAAGTTCTCAACAGGAGGTTAGGAAAGAATTATCAAGAGGCAGTCATGGGTAGTGCCAAGTGGGTGGAGCAGTTACTGCAATGAAAAGTGTGGCTTCCTTTATAACCCACAGACTGTCATAAAGATTTGTTCTCAGAGGTGAGGCTTGCTATGGGCTTACGATTTAGTTAAAAGAACAAAATGTGGGTGATGGGTATTTGAGGTTTCATTGTATTGTTATGGAGTCATGTTTGACATCTTTTTACAATAAAAAACTAAAATACAAGTTATGGGGGCACTACAGTAGAAGTGTTTGACCCAAAGGAATCTGGTAGGCCTGGATTTGTCGGTTCTGCCACTTACATTCGCCTAAAGATGGATGTAATAACCGTCTCAAATGTTGAAAGGCTTTTAAATGACAGTACCTGAACTCCTCAGCAAATTGGCTGACACAAACCAGGGGCTCACTAAATAGGTGCTTATTAGAACTCTTAATTGAAACAGTACTGGGCCTTGGGTATAAACTACAAATCCCAGAAAAGCTGGGCACGAAGGCAGGCACCCCGGCAGGACCGCGGGCCGAGGCCCTTGCCCAAAAAGTGGAGACAGAAGAGGACACAGGGACAGTAACCCCCGCGGCTCCAGGAGCGCAGAAGCCTTCAGGCGGCCCTTTCAATCCTCCAGGGTCAGAGCCTTGTGTTTCGGTTCAGTCAGACTCCATTTGCTCCCAACTCCCAAACTCGGAGGCGTCTTTTTTTTTCAGACATAAGTCTTGAAAGGTAGTAAATCCTTAGCTTCTCCAACACATGGCGTGTCCCCTCGGCCGCACACTGCAGAGGAAGAACATGGCGCCCAAACTCGCAAGATGCCCACCGGACGAAACCGAGGTCGGGCCCAACGACGCCACCGCACGCAAGTCAGCTCGAGAACCACCTCCAACCGCCTAGGTAAAGGGTGACTTCCGGAGGCGCGGAAAGAGTGTCGCAGCGAGGGGGATAGTGAGAGGCGGACAGAATTCTAGGTGGCCAGGACAGTGCCACCTCAAATTCTCTGCAGGCCAAGACTTTCACATAGATTGGCGAGACATAGTCTCCAGTCTCCCAACTCCAAGATCCATACAGCCGTTCAGTGCACCTCTCGAGGCAGTCGAAAAGTCCCATATAGTAACTGATTTTTTCAGGCATTTATAGCGGCCACCACAACTCCCTACTGCTCAAGCGCGCGCACGGGTGAAAGGAACACGGCCGGCGGGGGTGGGGCGGTGCCTAACTCTGTACGCGTACGTAGTACGACGCACGCAGGCGCAGTACGGTCCCCCGGGCGACGGCGGCGGCGGCTCTTCGGGGTGCTCGGCTCCCTCCCATCTAGGCCGGCCCCGGCCCGTCTCGGCCGCAGACGCTTACTGTTTGGGGCCGCGGACTTTCTCGTCGTGCCCCACAAAAGTAAAGCTTGGGGAACTGGGGGGAGCCGGAAGTACCGCCTCGCGATCCCCAAATACTATCGGGGAAACGGAAGTGGCCGTCGGTGGCAGGTTGGGGGAGACCGGAAGTGACGGTCCCGTGGGGAAGTCGGGGGCGGAGCCGCTGGCTGGCGCTGTGTGTGTTTGGTATTGAGTCTGGTGTATTAGTTGGGCCGCTTTGCTAGAGCACCGAGGGAAGGCGGAAGAGAAGGGCAGTCAGCTGGCCGGTCTGGCCCTCAGTGAGTGTCCGTCATCTCGGGTTTATCGTGACTTAGGCGGGTTCGATGGGCGTGGCGTGGCGCGCGTGCGCGCGAAACCACTTTCTCCGCCAGGTCTGGCGCGACCCTCGCTTTTGCGTTGTCCCAGGGTTTGCCGACTTCTTGGGCCCTTGTCCTGTCGCGACCGGTGATGACACTGGTTTTGTGCTTCCTTCCTTCGCTGCTTTCTAGCCCGACTGGCCCTCCCTTATTGTGATTGGCATCGTGGAGCCCCTCCCACCTCCCGTCCTCCAGCTCCGTGTGCCGTCGATCTCTTGCCCTTTGTGTCTCTCTCCCTGTGCCCCGGAATCAGAAGGGGGATGGGGGCGGGTGTGAGTGTGTGTGTTTGTGTGGGAGAAACTCTTTAGGCATTGGGGCGGAGTCTTGGGCCGGGTAGGCTTCCGGGTACATAAAAATCTGCCCTGGGCGACAGCGGGCCGTCTCCTTTCCATTCTTCCTTAGACAGCTGTCGGCCATGGAGTCTAATGATAGCACCAGTACCACTGTGAAAGAGCCTGACAGCCTGGAGGTGCTGGTGAAGACCCTGGACTCACAGACCCGGACCTTTATTGTGGGGGCCCAGGTGAGAACCCAGTACTTCTGGGAGACATCCATTAACTCTCTTGTCGGTTCCTTAGCTTGAGAGAAGAGTCTGATTTTCTGGTCTTCAAATTTCCTTTCATTGAATCCTTTGTTCATGTTGTAGGCAGAGCATTTCCTGATGTTACCTCTATGGTTTCTGTTGGGTGAGGCAGATTTTCTTCTGCCTTCTTCCACCTCAATAAAAATGCAAAGGGAAAGAAGGAGGGAGGAATCTGTATGCCAACATCGTGAACGAATCCCAGCCCAAAGGGACGGACATGGCTCCTGCCTTTTGGAAGGGAAACAGAACACATAGACCTAAAGTGCAAGTGTGTCTTACAGACAAGAACTGTTGTTTTTAAAGTAGAGAAAATGGAGCTCATAATGCAGGAAGAGCCCTAATAGACTCTTGAGTGGAATTACTAATATTTATGATGTATTTTGGGTTTTTTGAGCATATTGGCAGGAATACAGCTATCTGTGTCATTATTGGAGACAAAATCATGAGGGAGTTGTTCTGTTGTTTTAAAACGTGTTACCTGTTTTTAAGGAAACCATATAGGTTTTTGCAATTAAATGTATGTAAACAGCTTGGTGCTTCCCAAGAGTCAGTTGTCTGGTTAGGACAAATGTTTTTCTGTTTTGATCCCTTTTCTTTCATCTTGGCTCAGTCTTCCCACCTTAACCTGATTCTCCACTCCATTTTCTTTGTCAGCGTTTGTATCTTTAAGATTACAGAGTTATATCATTTTGTGTTTGAGAAGGGGTCACTGGTATCTTTAGACACACACATTTCTTTGGGAGCCAGGCAGAGGAGGAGAAAAGGGAATGCCAGTAGTCTTTTCTGCTTTTCAGCCTTGTAATTTTCTCCTAGGCATATAACCTGTAGTTCCCTATGTTTATCGTAAGTATTTTGACAGGTGTTGCCTTAGTTCAGGGCTTTGCACAATGATTACCTCACAATGAAGACAAATAGGTAGTGATTTTATGATAGGATGGGTTTTTTTCGCCCTCACAAGTCAGTTGTCCCTCTTCCATCTTTCCTGTTTTCTTCCATTCCCTGCTTCCTATTCATGTCTCTTCCTTACAGATGAATGTAAAGGAGTTTAAGGAGCACATTGCTGCCTCTGTCAGCATCCCTTCTGAGAAACAACGACTCATCTATCAGGGACGAGTTCTGCAGGATGATAAGAAGCTCCAAGAATACAGTAAGGGAGTGGGGGAGGCCATTCTGAGGCTGAGGCAGTTGTCCAGAGTCCTGAGCTGAGGCTGTGGGTTTACCTAATGTTACAATGTTTTGGTGTGTATCTTTTCTTCCTGCAGATGTTGGGGGAAAGGTTATCCACCTGGTAGAACGGGCTCCTCCTCAGCTTCAGCTCCCTTTTGGGGCATCTTCTGGAACAGGGTCTGCCTCAGCTACCCACGGTGGGGGACCCCCGCCTGGTACTCGGGGGCCTGGGGCCTCTGTTCATGACCGGAATGCCAACAGCTATGTCATGGTTGGAACCTTCAATCTTCCTGTAAGCTTGTGTTCCTCATGGGAAGGTTTTTGTGGGAGAGTGTAGTTTTGGTAGTGGTAGCAGCCAAGACCTCATAAGACTGGTTTCTCAGTTTTTAGATTGGGTTTGGAGGGCCCTGTGGTCTGATAATATAGTCGTTGTCTTTGAGAAGATAGTGGGTGGGGCTCCAGAGAACCAGTTGGAAGTGTGGGAGACCTTAGTATTTGGCTTCTCCCAGAGCAACTTCCCTTACCCTTTCCCCAGAGTGACGGCTCTGCTGTGGATGTTCACATCAACATGGAACAGGCCCCGATTCAGGTATCACGGGGCCTGGGAGGGTCAGGGAAGGGGATCTGGGAGAAGGAGGCCATAAGGTGGGGGCGGAGCTGGCTGAGGAAATGGCTGGGACCTGGTTTAATAGGTGGTGGAGCTCGTGGCTTTATTCCAAGCCTGCCCTGATTTTTCCTTCTCTTAATGTAGAGTGAGCCCCGAGTCCGGCTGGTGATGGCCCAGCACATGATCAGGGACATACAGACCTTACTATCCCGGATGGAGGTGAGTGGGCAAGGCCGGCTGGGGTCTGTCTGTCTCTCTTCCCATCCTCCCTACCCCTTTTCTCTCAGCCCAAGGGTGAGGACATGACTGGCCACATCCACTGGATTCTTTCTTCCTAATCTGGTCTCTTCTCTGCAATCTTTATTCTTTTGGGCAGAAAAA